GAGTTGTGGGTTCATACATACATATATATATATATATATATATATATATACTCTAGTTCCAATTCCTGCTCAGTTATATTATAATTTTTTATTTTTGTTCTTGCCAATATATCTCCCTTGAAAGTTTTGTTATTTATGTTGCCTCATAAAGACGAACAAATAAGTAAATAAATATATATACACACATATATATATATACACACATATGCACACACTGTATATACATATTCCAAATAATTGAAAAAATAGTAAATTAAATTTGGAAAATATAGAGAAGGAAGCGAGTGAATGAAGGTGGAAGATGGATAAATAAAACGTTGGAACATGCATGCGGTCTCACGGGAAGCCATTCAAGCGGTCTACGTTTGCTTAATTATCGCTCATCAAACTCAATGAATGTCTATGTTATTGAGTGCCTGTGTTTTCATATCTTTGTGATGATCTCAGTCTCACGTCGTTTTCGAGAGGGTAGAAAAGTTTTTTCACAGCGCAGATAGCACAGGCAGACACACTTGGAAACAGAGAAGATTTTGTTGCATCTGCAGATTCTACTTGTTGTTTTTGACTGTCAGACGAGAACTGTTTCATGCTTATCTCATTGAATCTGCGTTACACGGGTCTGTTTATTTGCTAGAAGACTTGATGAAAAATTACTACATATAAGCATCAATGTCTACACGACAATGTTGCGCTTTTGTGTGTGATATAGAATGAATCACGTTGCGAATATCTACATATTTTGTGGTGCGATGTCATGAAGAGACTATATGAAGAAGTATGCAATTACTCTTACGATGCTTTAAATAATGATAATGGCACAACGTCTGTTGGTCTCACGGGCTCATGATAATTGAGTTTGTTTTGTTAATTCTTCTTCATTGAGCCAAATAACTTATCGTCCCATCTTATGCGAGCGGACGTGTGCTCATCCTTTTTTCTTTCCTATTATTTGGTTTGTAATTTTTGCGTTTGTGCTTGCTGCTTTTGAAATGTTGGTTTTTAGAATAGTCTTCATTGGTTGTTGTGAATAATTTTTCTGGATGGCTTGGTACGTAATGGCTAGTGCGCGTATCAATGGTACTGACATCAATTTTTCTTAGCAGAATCTTTAGTTTAAATTGTTTTGAATTTGACCACTTTTCAAATATTAAAAACATAAACTTATGATTAATTTCGACACAGAATTGCTTTATATTGCTGCAGAATACTTTGTATAATAAATACTTTTTAGTTGTCTAGTGCAGTTTTTATTCTTAATTTTAGACATCAAATTTTACTGTTTATTGATATTTTCTACCGTTTTTAATATTTTGATCGTTGACAATTTTAAGTTGAAGAATATTTGCATATGAACTTGGTTAAACAAAGTCATGACTAAAATGTGCAATAAAATTAACTTTGAAATTATTTAATAATCTCTTGGACTGTGGATAAATTGCAATGAACGTTTTATAAGGCTTCTTTTGATCCACAGGTTTTAAAATCTCAGCATTATGTTTGCTCTTAATTTATTTTAATTTCTTTAAATTTTTTAGCAAAATTAAATTTATTTCATTGAAAAGAAATTTGAAAATATAAAAGTGTAACAAATTAAAATTACGTATTTCCCTATGATTTTACAACGTTTAACATGAATTGAATGGGTGATAAAATAACAAGCAATTATGT